TTGTTTTTCATTGTTTCTCTTCGTGTTGCATTTTGTTTCTTTTTTTTCTCTTGTGTTTTTTGTGTTGTTGTTGTCGTGTCTTTTGGTTTTTGTGTTTAGTTTTATTGGTATTTTTGTTTACGAATGTTCGATTTCGATTTTGGCTTCTTTTTGTTTTTGTTTGCTTGTATTATTGATTTTTGTTTTTGTTTGCTGTTGTTAATGTTTTGTGACAATTGCTTGTTTTGATTTTTTGTTATTGTTATTTATTTGTTTGATTGTATTTTTGTTGTTGTTTCTGTAATGTTTTTATATATTTTCCTTGGAATTTGTAAGTAATTTGTTTTTAACGATAATTATATTAGTCGATTTTTGATACAGACTTATTATATAATCCTCTAAATGATTTAAATATATGGGGCATTGTCGTGGTATTTGGCTTTGAATAGTTGTTACGTTGGCTGGGTTTGAAATAGGTTTCTTTTGGATGAATTTGTTAGATATGGCTATAGTTTTAGTTTTTTCCTCAAGAGATACGGGTTTGTTAAATAATGGGTTAGGATTTTTTTATGGTGCAAATTTGTAATATGAAGCATCTATGAAAAGATAGACAGATAGAGAGACAGATAGACAGACAGATAGAGAGACAAATGGAGAGACAAATAGAGAGACAGATAGAGAGACAAACAGAGGGATAGATAGAAAGATCGACAAATAGAGCGACAAATGCAGCGACAGATAAAGAGACGAGAGAGGTAGACAAAGAGACAGACAGAGCGATAGATAGAGAGGCAGATAGAGAGATAGGAGCAAGACAGAGAGAGAGAGAGACAGAGAGACACAGAGAGAGACAGAGAGATAGAGAGAGAGAGAGAGCAAGAAACTGAAAAAGACAGAGAGAGACACAGAGATAGACAGAGAAACAAACAGAGAGAGAGACATAGAGAGAGAGAGAGAGAGCCAGAAAAAGAGATATAAAGAGAGAAAGAGGGAAGGAGAGAAAGAAAAAAAGAAAGAAAGAAAGAAAGAAAGAAAGAAAGAAACAAAGAAAGAAAGAAAGAAGGACTAGAGGACGATTGGCCCGAAAGCATTTTTCCCCAGGTGCTCATCCAGCCGCGGAGACACCTTTTTACATCGCTGCGGCGAGCGTGTCTGCACGCGGCGATGCTCAATGTCTATGGTCACATGAGAGCTCCATCTCATCGTCCTACGAGAGGAAACATGGCAGTGCCCGACCCCACATATTTACATCAGTTAAAACAAGAAGAGTAAAGCTCGTAAAGCTTGAAGCGAATTACAAGCAAAAGGAAAAGCAATCAATAGCAAAGCTTACACGGCGGCCACAGTTTCTGCAAAGCACGCTCGCGCAACTTAGCTCTGTGCAAGATGGCTCTGCGCAGCTTGGCTCTGTGAAAGTTGGCTCTACTTTTCGCGAGTGGCTCTGCGCAACTGGCTCTGTGCAAGTTGGCTCTGCACGAGTCTGCTCGGCGCAATGTGCTTTGCACGAACTGCGCAGCGCGATTTCTCACGAAAGTGGTCTCCGCAAGCTGCATTGTTCCAGGCTGCTGCGCGCAAGTTGCTCTCTGCAAGCTGCTGCACGCAAGTGCTCTGTGCAAGTTGCTGCGCAAGTGTTCTGAGCAAGTTGCTCTGCGCAAGTGCTCTGCGCCAGTTGCTCCGCGCAAGCGCTTTGCGTATGTGCTCTGTGCAAGTTGGTCTGTGCAAGTTGCTCTGCGCAAGTGCTTTGTGCAAGTGCTCTGCGCAAGTTGCTCTGCGCAAGTGACTCTGCGCAAGTTGCTCTGCGCAAGTGCTGCCGGAGCTGTGGCAATGTACTTCGCGTACTATTTTTGTACCTAAAAGTTGCGATTTTCCAGCCAGCTGCGGGGGTGTGCTCCGCGTACTACGTTTGTACTCAAAAGTTGCGATTTTCCAGCCGGAGCTGCGGGAGCACGCTCCGCATACTACGTCTGTACTGAAAAGTTGCGATTTTCCAGCCGGAGCTGCAGGAGCACGCTCCGCGTACTACGTTTGTACTTAAAAGCTGCGATTTTCCAAGCCGGAGCTGCCGCGGGAATCGAACCCGCGACTGCGGGATTGCGAAGGCAGGCGCGCAAACCACGAGACAACTTCCAAAGGCCACTTCGCGAGCAACAAAATCGCACGGCGCCACAGCGAGAGCGCTTCGACACGCACGATCTCCGCAGAGGGTTCGCCGAGACTAAGAAGAAGTCGCACGGCGCCACAGCGAGAGCGCTTCGACACGCACGATCTCCGCAGAGGGTTCATCCGGGCACCGCAAAAACGCCAATAAAAAAACCTCGAGTTTTTGCACCTCGACCACGCCGATCCCTGCAGAGGGTCGCGCGCGAACCGACAAAACGCAAAAACAACTCGAGTTTTTGCACCACGACCACGCCGATCCCCGCAGAGGGTCGCATTCCCGATCGCCCCGCCAAGAAAGAGATTCTTAATACCGAACTCTTTCTCTTTCTTTCCCGCGCGTTAAGCACTTAACCTAACTTAACCTAGCTTACACAGCTGCTAACGCCGAGCCTCTACACCCAGCTTAGCTTAGCCTCTATGCACCTAGCTCTACGCACTTGGCTCTATGCTCGCTCTTTGCACTTGGCTCTATGCACTTAGCTCTGTGCACTTGGCTCCTTGCACCTCGCTCTTTGCACTTCGCTCTGAGCACTTGGCTCTATGCGTTTGGCTCTTTGCACTTGGCTCTGCGCAGACTCTGTGCAAGTATCTCCATGCTGGTGACTCTGTGCAAGTATCTCCATGCTGGTGACTCTGTGCAAGTAACACCACTAGTAACTCTGCGCGAGTATCTCCATGCAGGTATCTCCATGCTGGTGACTCTGTGCAAGCTACCCTGCGCAAGTTGACCAAGGGCCCCTGGTATCTCCATGCTGGTGACTCTATGCAAGCTACTCTGCGCAAGTTAACCAAGAGCTCCGCACGGAAGAACCCTTCGTAAGGCTTTCGGGAAAAAGAAAGAAAGAAGGAAAGAAAGAAAGAAAGAAAGAAAGAAAGAAAGGAAGGAAGGAAGGAAGGAAGGAAGGAAGGAAGGAAAGAAAGAAAGAAAGAAAGAAAAGAAAGAAGAACAAAAAGAAGCAATAAAGAACGAAACAAAGAAAGAAAGAAAGAAAGAAAGAAAGAAAGAAAGAAAGAAAGAAAGAAAGAAAGAAGAACAAAAAGAAGCAATAAAGAAAGAAAGAAAGAAAGAAAGAAAGAAAGAAAGAAAGAAAGAAAGAAAGAAAGAAAGAAGAACAACAATAAAAGATAAATAAAGAAAGAAAGAAAGAAAGAAGGAAAGAAGAAAAGAACGAAAGAAACAAAGAAAGAAAGAAATAAAGAAATAAAGAAAGAAAGAAAGAAAGCAAGAAAACAAGAAAGAAAGAAAGAAAGAAAGAAAGAAAGAACGGCAGAAAGCAAAGAAAGAAAAGAAAAGAAGGAAAGCAGGAAGGAAGGAAAAAACACAGCAAGAAACAAAGAAAGAAATAAATAAAGAAATAAAGAAAGAAAGAAAGAAAGAAAGCAAGAAAACAAGAAAGAAAGAAAGAAAGAAAGAAAGAAAGAAAGAAAGAAAGAAAGAACGGCAGAAAGCAAAGAAAGAAAAGAAAAGAAGGAAAGCAGGAAGGAAGGAAAAAACACAGAAAGAAAGAAAGAAAGAAAGAAAGAAAGAAAGAAAGAAAGAAAGAAAGAAAGAAAGAAAG